CTGCCTGCCTGGGCTTCATTGCTATTGTTACTCGAGCTAGGGTACGCCAACATGTGCTGAAATCACACCTCCCGACTGCAGTGTCGACATACCCACCGTGTATATGATTCCCGGTAATCCAGAATCGCCACAACACACGTGCACAACCCCCAACAAACCCCAGAGACTCACCACTTGTTCATTAGTCTTCCCAAAAAAAGCTTCAGCAAAGACAGAGACGACGAAGACGTTAATGAGGAAGGAGACAAAGAGGGCAACGCAGGACTCTATGAAGAAATACTTATTGGCTTCTTGCACCTCCTTCTTGTCTGCACGATTCACCTGCCTCGACTGGAGAGAAAGCGTTTAAAGACAATTATGAGAGAGTATTTTAGAACCTCTAGTCGATGGAACCAGCTGTATCTCCAACAGGGTGGTGCCTCTGGATTTCTACTGAACTTTGGCCAGAATATGTCTATCCTGTCTGACAGCAAATATTAAGAGCTGAGCCCTGCCCACGATTGGATCCCTCTTTAGGCCTTACAAACAGCAGTCAACAGCATGAGACATTAGACACCAGCTGGCCAAGAGTAGCTGCTAATGCAACAACGCTGTGGGGTGCATACAATGAGCAAAGGGGCCTGGTTTGAAGAAGCGGGGCTGTGGCTGGCCACATTCACACAAGCACCTATCCACAGGATGCACTAGCAACACCACCTGTTTGAGCACGTTGCTCCGGCAGACTGGATTTCCCCATGGTCAACTGCAGCTCCAAATGAAATCTCACCATACTGGACATGCTTTCCAGTTTACCCTGGCACCCAGGGGCTGCTCAGCCTTCTGCTGTGATGCTGGGATGTGCCCCAAGATAAAGGAGCTAGTAAATTAAGGGGCGGTATCAGCCTGAGCGCTAAACATATGCTGCTGTGGGGAGGGGGAAAGAGAAAAAAGCCCATCTTGTTTGCAGGACAGACTGATGGCCTTCAGCTTTAAAATTAGCCTGGGTTTGTCATCTTGTCCCCAGTAGAATCAAATATGGATGAATCCCACAAGGCAGAGAGACTGGGAAACACTGTTCAGATGTCTGAAATATGGTTTAAGGGGTTTGCCAAGTATTAATTTAGACCCCAGGTTCTGTCACGCAAACACATAGTTAACGCGTGTTCAGCCAATTTATTCAATTTACCCTATTACGTAAGAGATACCGTATTTCTTTATCAGGTGCACATGGCATATTCTAATTCTGAAAACTTTCATAGCACAGTCACCATCAGAATCAGCTTACTGAACTGATTCCAAAGTATGGAGAGTTCTCCGCAAAGGCTACGGGAACTGCTACTATAGACAGGTTTCAGAGTAGCAGCCGTGTTAGTCTGTATCCGCAAAAA